ATTTTTGCGTGGATTGTGCCGATAATACAGATGGAGTACAATGTGAGCTGTAAGTGTTGAATTGCCTAAAGTGATGAATTTTTGTCGATTCAATGCAAATAATAACTGACACGATTTCTTGCAACCAGCAGCTATTCAGCAATCATTTAGGATGACTAGAATGTCTAGAAGTCAAAGTCTAGAGTTTGCTGAAGAGCATCTATCTTACCGGGAGAGGAAGAACCTCGTCGGGGATCTTATAACTGCGTTATTAGCAAATATCTCCCCGCTGATGTATTTGCCCTCCGAAGAACACATCTCAAGTTACTTTTGTTTAGCAGTTGAACCTTTTGCTAAATTTCGATCCCCTCCTCGAACTACTCCAATCTTCATCAATAATATGGAAATTGAACCATATCATGGTCAATTGCTCTCTTTATTCTACGAGAATTAAGACATCATAAGCAATGTGAAGCATTCCTATATTGCAGGTGTTCAGCAGGTTATAGTGGAAGTGCTTTAGCGGATTCACTGGATGGTNAAGCAATGTGAAGCATTCCTATATTGCAGGTGTTCAGCAGGTTATAGTGGAAGTGCTTTAGCGGATTCACTGGATGGTTGTACAGAAATGTCAACGAATCAATCGTCGTCCATATGCACGTGTAACAGGCATTCATCGAGCTGTGATTCAGATGGCATATGCCAGGTTTGTATGCTTCATCGTTCAGTCAACAAGACTCATTTTATGGCAATGTTCTCATCTCAGATGAGAATTTTTGTTTTAAATAGATTCATTCAAACCAATTTGAACGTCTCAGCAAATCTTAATACGAACATAATTCTAAGGATTGTGAACATAACACAACGGGTACAAAATGTGAACATTGCAAATCGGGCTTCTATGGGGATGCCACTCAAGGTACCAAGGACGATTGCATTAAGTGTCCGTGCGGGTAAGTTAAATGACCACAACTTGCTGATTGTAATGTCTCTATGAAATATCTTTTACGAAGATTTGGAGATGTGATATCCCTCACTGGATTTAATAATCATTTCATTTGATAGGATATATAAGGATATGTTGTGAAGAGGATCTACGGAATGTTCAGAGAATAAGTTCTTTCAGCGAGGGAGGAGAGTGTTTTGTGAACAGCGATTCACTGTTGGAATGTCGTGTTTGCAACAGCGAAACACCAAACAAAATGTGTAATACACGCAAATGATCGCATGA